CCCACTGATAGATGGCATTTCCACAGACTTGTTTGGGTTTGCTTGGAACCTGAAGTGTTTTAATGGAAAATGCAGAACGGGCTCGATGCTATGGAGGGTAATGTGCTCTGGGTAAAAACAAAGTGAGTTGCCTGAGCAGACTAAAAGAAATATTTAACAAAAGAAAGAGAAAGGATGCTCAACTAAATCTGAAGGGGACAAAAAAAAAAAAACAACCCACCCAAAACATAAATCCCATGTGATGAAAATAAAGTACCTGGGAGAGGAGGAAGCACAGGTGAAGCTGATGTTTTACTACACACATGTCCCAGCCCTGGGAATGCTGCTGTGTTAACTTGGAAGGGTGAGCTTACTGCCTCCAGTAAGCTGCTGTAACATGTAGCCTGATGCTGTTGTGCCAGATGTGCCCAGTGCATACAGTGTGGTACAGTGGTGCATGAGATAGTAAAGAACTGAGAAACTGCAAAAGGCGCTGCATTCTTGAGGCATTTAAACATAAAATAAATTGGTCTTGAGTATTTCTAAGGGAGGCTTTAGCACATACTTCTAACTCTCTGGTCGTAATTGGAGACCAGTGGTTTATGTATCCCAGCACTTGTGAAGACTAAATATTGGCTTCTTCAGATGGTGAAATAGACTTTAGTCTTGGTCCAGAAGTACTAAGAGTTTTAGGTCTTTCTTTATGGAAGCTCATTATTAGCTGAAGTTGGCCGTAAAGGATTTATGTTTATTATTGAAAGAGGCTGGTAAACATCTTGTCATGAGATTAAAGAGCATTGTTTTCAACCACACTGTCTAGATCATTTGACAGAAAATGCAGAGGAGAAGACTTCAGCCTAGCTTATGTACATGTCAATCTTATAAAATAAACAAAAACAAACTAAAGGAGCTTTCCAGTTTCAGGCAGAATGTGAATTGCCGTTACCAGATCTCTGCTCGAGGAGGAAGTTCAACAGGGAAAGAAAGAAGTATGAACAGTGGCTGGCACATCATGTTCTTGGATGCTCACAACTGCCCAAGGGAAAGGTATGAGTTCTCAAGATCTTTTGTCTTTAGGTACAGGATGGTGTTCCATATGCATTTTACAGGAAAACAGGTTTAAAAGCATAAATGCCAGTCATTTAAGGATCAAAAAAATCAATAAGAATGTTGTATACTGATGCAAATTAATAGTAATAGGAAAGGTCTTGCTGGGAGTTGTTGCGTGCACCAAAAATGCTGTGAAAGATTCTGTATTTTTCCTGGAAAACTTACAAAAAGATTTAGTTTGCTTGCTTTCCTTGCTTTTGTTGGGGAAAAACAGAACAAAACAAAACCAAGTAAACAAAAAACCAGAACTGAACCATACTGAAGCATTCTTCCAAGAATATTACTGTTTTTTGCCTCAGGTGGACTTGCTAGACTTCCCATGAAAATACTACAGCTAAGCAGGTGATCATGAACATCAAACTTGATCCTTCTGCAAATAATACACCTGAAACAGTTTTGTCTTACAGCAGATGCAGTTCATTTGGCATAAATTTAAGCTGTTTGGTTTTCAGTCCTTTCTAGATTCTCCTATTCCTTATGTAATAGGATGATTAATACGTTTTCAAAGCAATAAAGTGATATTAGTCCATGTTTAGTGTCGTTACATTTCAGAATGGATCCAGTAGTGCCTGGCTTTCCACTGATAACTTTTTTTCTAAAAGAAATTATGCTGTTAGGAGCCAGTACCACAGTAAGCACAGACCTGCAAGATAGTAGCATCTGCAAGATGTAGAGTTGGATAAAGTGAAATATAAACTTTCAATTATGTGGCTCACCTGGTAGGGAACTCTTGAGACCATCTGCTACAACATCACAAGGGCTCTTGCTTATGGCTCTTGGGAAACAATGATATCATCAGCAGTATTGTCATCTCAAAGGCATGCATGCTACAGGCACCTGGGTGACATCCCCATACAGGAGGTAAGGAAGGGATGCTGTACTGGCCTTTTTTTCTATGGATATCTCACACAGGTGATGTGTGCCTCAACTGTACCATGTTGAGGCAACTAAGCCCCAAGAGACAGCAGCACAGCAGGAACAGCACTTTCTCCTCCCTGGAACAGTAGCGTAAGCTGCAGATCAACACAACATGTCAGAGACTCTACGTTCCCAGTATGTTTTAGTTAGCACTAGTGATGTTTCTACCATTACGTATTATGTTAATTTTCCCTGTTAATTCTTGCTTGTGTTGTGTCTGGCTCAGAAAGGAAAATATGTGTGGGACTGTGCTTTTGACTTCTGGTTTGAGCCATCTGGAACAGGTTAGTATAGCGTTGATGTTATGAGATAGCACTTGTAATTCAGACAGTACCTGAAGCAGGCCTCAGATAATGATGTTATGTAGTCTCCTTTGAAAAAGGAGAGGGAATCCTCTGCAAACACCAACAGTTTGAAATTCAGATTCTTTCCCAGGAGGTGGAAGAAACAAGCCCTACTCTTTTTCAGGCAGAATTAGGGTTTGAGACCAAGTTTCCTATGTGCTTAGTGCTATTCATGTGGTGGTAGGGTGAGACGTGTGTTTCAAATTGCTGCGTGTCTTGTGTTATACCAGCATGTGACAATACAAAAGCTTGCTAATTTGTCAGTCTCTAGGATCACTTATACCAATTTCCACAAGCAAAAGCCAACTTTCTCATGGAGCTTAGGTACTATCAAAATGCAATCATTCCAGTAAATACCCAGCAGTTTTGCTCTAAGCGCTTTACCAGTTTTGCTAGTAGAAAATTTGGTTCTATAAGGTCTGATAGGAGCAGAATGGATGTTTTAAGCATCTAAAGCTTGGATATATATGGCCTTAAAGTGTCAGTTATTGCCAAATTCCTTTAATGAATTCAGGTCTGTATGGCTGTGTAAAAGATGCCTAAGATTTGTCACTCAAAAAACATTGGGCTTGTACCCCTACTGCCATACAGAGCTGTGTGATTTCACTGTGCTCCCACAGTTTGACAGTGTCCTTGAGAATGTTCAGAAAGGGTGAATGTTCCTTCTAAATGAAGTAATAGATTTTATAACATGGGGGGGATATTTGAGACCACTGAAGCGAGAGTGTTTCTAGATGTGAAGTTTATCCACCATTTTAAGCATAAATGGTGAAGGTGTCAGAACATAGTGCTGAAAGATATATTGAATTATCCATGCTTATATAGGGTGAACAAAAGGGGGTTTATGTACCATAGACTTCTTCCTATATGCAACTCTTCCTGTCAAGGAGAGTTGTGAGAAGGGTGTGGCTGTATCTCATTACTTGGTGGCTGATGGTAGTTGCAGAAAGGTGCTGCAGAAATTGGACTTAGCCATAATATCAAATCTTTTTATTTAGGAACAAAACCAGTCACCACACTGTAAACTAGCCCAAGCTGTGGTTTGGTGCACTTCTTGTACTCTGTCTTTTTATTCACCCCAGCTGTCAGATGGAGACAGGAAAAATCAAAACATTTGTATAGTTTTCTTTCTTAAGGGAGCCCCTTAGGTGGTCAGGTCTGGATTCAGCTCCTGATTCCAGCGCTGGAACACCTCTGCCAGTTGGCTGATGAATCAGAAATCTTTAGTCTGAGGCAATTCTTTGGGAGCAAACTGGTACTGCATTCTTCCAGTGTTTCTGACATGCGTACAATGATTTTTCTATGCAATGGTGAGAAAAGTTCAATGGATCAGCAAGTGAAAGATAACAAGTATGTGCAGCAAGCTCTTCATCTACACAAATGGATGCTCCGAGCATGTGTTTTGCTGTAGAGCTGTTTCAGTTATCTTCACACACCTAATACAGAGCAAGCCCTGCTACTTTTCGGCTTGTTAGCTCTCCAGATCACTGAGTGTATTGAGAAACACTGGAGTTATGGAGTAATGAGAACACTCTCTGTTAGCCTTCTGCCACAATGAAAATTTGCTATGTATTTCTTGTCTGCTTTCTCACCCATGACAAAACTTTCCTCTCACAACATGCCCAGTGACCTTCTTCAGAAGTCCCTTCTGTGAGTTTTTGTTAAGCTCTGGGGAAGTCTATTTAAAATTGATTTTTATTCATCTGCAAGTGTATTGGTTCTCTTTGAATAATTCTAGGAGGGTGTGTAATTTTCCATACGATACAGGTGAGGCAAAGAAGCCATTGAGAGACAAACTTTCAGAAATGGCACTGAGTGTCTGATGCTGTCATTTTGGACAGTTGCAGGCAGTTAACAAGGTACAGAGCTGTTGCACTTCCCATCAGCATCGATATGACTCGGCAACCCTGGAGCACCTCAGCCTTTGTATCTTCCCCTGGGTATCCATGCTTAGAGGCCAGTTTTATGAATATCTGTTGTAACAACTCTGTTTCTGAATCTGCTATAGAGAGGGATGACAGATTTTTGTCTGGTTGGGCATCTCACGTTCGTTAGGAATAAAGGATTTCCTCAAATGGAAAACTCAACAGAATTTTGAAGTAGTCATTTAATATCTGTGTCTGTATTCAGTTTCAGTGTTCATCTTTGGATCTAGCATAGACCTGCAGCATCTGATTGCTTACCTCTCACATCTCATAAATGTTCTGCTTGACATGTTAAAGGTCTGCTTGTGGCAACACTGCAAAACACCTGACAAAGTACTTTATTTCCTTCCTCTACAGTTTTAACTGGAGATCTGCAAGATTTGTCTTTCCTGAGAAATACTTCATTTTACAAGCTGCTCCCTTAAGCATGGGGTCAGTGTTTGCAGACAAACCATTTGTTTTCCTTTGAACTTTTAATTTGTTTATTCCTGTTTTCAGATAATCCCCAAGCAATATAGTTCCTGTAGCTGCAAGCGTCATGAATTCAAGCTATTCACCTCCCAGAGGGTCAGACCTTTCATCAGTATGCCATTGGCACGAAGCAGTGAGTGTTGCATATTCATTGTCCGAGACACCAGCTAGAGGGCCTCCAAAAAGCCTGACTTTTTTTTTTGTTCTCAAAGCAAGGAAAACAATCCCTTCCCTTCTCCAGTCCCTTGATAAGGGTTTCTGTCCAATAACGGTGCTCTCTGCTCTGAGGCACATTTAACTGTGAAGTTTGCAGCGGGAGAGGCTTTCCTTCAAGCTGTTAGTGTTTCATCCTGGCAGGCTCCTCGAGGTTGTTGTGAGGAGTCTAGCCAGTTGGTGAGCTTTGTAATCTAAACCAGCTGTCCCAGGCTGAGGCCCCCATTTGCATTGTTTAACATACTTAGAAAATGAAGTGTTCATTTTTAACATTCCTCCTCCAATTGGTTTAATGCTGAATTACAGAAGAGAACTAAGCAAAACCAGGTGCTTTCTCTGTATTCTCTCCAGTGTCTGAGGAGGTACAGACGGCTCCTGATCTTCTCCATTCCATTACTTGCTATTTCATTCTTTGGACTATAAATGACCGACGAACTGAAGTGCTAGCAGAGGGTAATGTTTGGAAAAACTTTTTAGTTATTCATCAGCACAGACTCTGTTTTTTTTCCACCTTTCCCTAACAGTTTTGGACATGCAAGGATTAAAAAGGTAAGTGGTATGCATGCAACTTCTTTGCTTACTGAAGGGAAACCTGCTTGTGGAAAAAAGCTGTGGCAGGGATTCGGTATGCCAATCCACTTGCTAAAGCCATTTGCAAAGAGACGGGATCTCAGTGGTCAGAGGTGGCGAAAGACGATCTGTCTGTTATTAAATCTGTGCTGTCTCTGACAAGTTTCTTCTTAATCTGTGCGTATACCCTGCGCTTTAGGAACCCCAGCATCCGCAGGAGTGCTGAATTGCGGCAGCAAATGATCCCACTGGCTACAGTGATTGATTTGAAGCTAATTAGTTACTATTGCAGAACTTAACCACTAGTTTAAAATATTTTGCCTGCTGGGCAAGCTCCTGTGACCAGCTGCATGTAGTGTTGATAGGTTGTGCTGTGCATGTCTTAATAATTCTTGAGGGGATTTGAGATCTAAAGTAATGAGCAAATTGAGATGATGGTTGGAGGCAGAACACATAAGAGGCGGTAAGGTCACCCCCCACCAAGAGAAAAGAATATATTATCTTGTAACAATGGAAACTAAGACTGTCTAGAAATGTATGTGTTTTGTCTGACCAGTTTTATAGGGGATTTTGTTAGTGTGCAGTACTCTGTAATAATGTAGAGTGTAGCTCAGTTGCTAGGTGTTAACATTCAGCTAAAACCTGGTTTATTTCCTTTTAGTGCTGTTCTTGCTATATGCAAAGTGAGTACAGTCTTTGTAATGGTGCATGCTTTAAAATCTCTTAAAAAAGATTTGAGGAATCAGTAAATGAAGTGCAATCCTAAATGAGTAACGTTGTACTTTGAATGCTTTCCATCCTACTCCAAGGAAAAGTCTGTGCAGAATTTGCCTTTTCTTGTCACTCAAAAGCTGCCAGCAAGCACATTCTGTCTTCGTAGCACTACGGACAACCATTTTAGGGTTTATGTTTACTTTTCAGAGCTTGTGCCTGTCTTCTCATTTAAAACAAATTTGTTCAAATGTGTCTGTCACTGCTTGTGTGTGGTTTTGTCTGATGCATTTATAGGTCTTGTTCAAGAGCTCAGTTTGCACTGGAAATCAGAGACAACTCTGAGAGAAAGTTGGCAGCTTGCTTGGGTAGCAGAGCTAAGGCTACCTAAAATATCCCTTGCTTCCTGTGCTAGTTTTGTGGGAACATATTGTATACAATTGCCATTCAGAACTAGAATCCAAGATAAGCAAGATGTGGGTCTAATTGTATTGAGAAGAAGTTTTGTATGAGGCAGTGGCGAAACACTGAAATCCATAGTACACAGAAAAAATAATTTCTTATTATCCTTTCATGGGTTTCAGTCTCCTGGTAAATACTTGGAGGTAAGAGCTTAGTTGACCAGAATTTTTATGCTCTAGGTAAGGAGTTCCAAAAATAGCCTCAGAGCTCTGTTATAAAGGGATCCCCTTCTTTCAGTTGCAGTGAAGAGACCCAGTAGGTCCCACTAGATGCTAAGATGATATAACTGTGGAAGGCTTCACTGAAGATAGCAGCTTCTAGTAGCTGATGAGCTGGCACGGTCTGTCTGCTTACAGAGCGACGTATTGCTCAAGATTGAATAAAGGGACAGAATCTGGCCCTAAGAAAATGGATTAATCTCAGATATAGTCTCCTGGGGATGAAATGCGGTTTAGCGGTTAGAGCAACTGGCTTGGATTCAGGACCTCCTGCATGACATGTCTGCAGTCTTGCCAATGCGTTGCAACTGTGAGTTTAGGCAGGGCCTGTGCTCTGGTTTACCCGTCTGTACAATGTGCATAATGTGCAAGAAAAGCTTTTATATTCTCAAAAGGAAGGTGTCAGAGAGGGGCAAAAATGCTCACTGAATATTGCAATATTGCACACTTGTTCGTTAAACAGTTGTTGCATGGGGTGTCATACAAATATAGGTTAGTTAATAGGCATGTACAATCTGATTTTAATCCTAGTTGCACAAAACCATAGTATATTAGTAACTCTGAGATCCAAGTGTGGCCCACAGTTGTATTACTCCTCTCTTGAGGCCAAATTTATGTTAGCAAAATGCTGTGGAATATACTGAAATGTCACTAGAAATTAATTTGCTCATGCGTATTTGATTCTACATAATGAACCTGGATATTAGAAGGTTTTCAGCCTATTTTCTATGCACATTACAGGATACTGACTGCTTTCACACTGGCCATCTGCCTTTCAAGACCTGGAAAAGCACAGGTGAGAGGTATACACAGAGATCTATGTGCTGTTTTGTACTGAAGTGCTGTATGGCATGAGGCTTAACTGGCTAGCAGGTGAATAGGAATCTTTGTGGTCTGGGGTTTACATGAAAAGGAAGCTGTGTGGTCTAAGGGTTTAGAGGGGAGAACTTGGAGCCAGCGATATTCTGGAGTTGAACATGGACTGAGCTTATTGACTCAACATTGCCAGCTCAGCAAGATATCCCTGTAGAAACCTGGAACTCACTGGAAAACCTGATTCTGCCTGTTACCTGAATGCTTCTGGAAAAGGAAATGAGAAAAGCCATCCCATGAGACCAGGGACAGCTCAGTTCTGTGGTGGGAACATCCACTCTTGGAAAACTTATTCATATAAATAGGTATTTTCTGTCTACAGCAGGATCTTGTTTTAAGACTGTTTACTTTTGGACTGTGATCCTGAATGACTGTATCCTAGTTTTCATTTTAATTTATGCCTGATACCATTTTTGTTCAAGAGGCAGGGCTTTTGAGGGTGGATGGAAGTAAAGCAGTCCAGTTCCTGAAATAGCAGAAGCATTAGTTCTTTGTGTTCTTGGGTTCCATGTGGACTTTAAATCAGGAGAAACAGTTCCCAAAGGCATGTTAAGTTTGGATTCCTAGTTGATAATCCAGATATACTCAGTGTCAAGAGCTGTGTTTCTAAATACCTTTGCCAAAAGTCTCTGAAATGTAGCTGTTTGGTTTTCTTTTTTTTCTCTTACATTGAAAATTTCCTGCACATGGCATGCTTATGGATACTTTTGTGAACATGTCTGTATGGGAAATGCTTTTCATGCCCCTGGGGAATTTTTGAGATGTCTTTAAGGGTTTGTTTTTATAATTTGAAAAACGTTTCCATTGTGATTTTTATAAAAACATCCTGTACCATAAATTGATTTTTGAAGTCTAAGCAGAAAGCAACTTGAAACCAAAATTGTATCAGTGACTTCTTTCTGAAGATACTGAAACTGGTCATTTTGACAGTATTGGATCCTTTTCTAGAATAAAGTTCTAGAAAGTTGTTGAAACCAGTTCTACAGCAGATTCAGTGCTGAATCATCACTTACTGTCCAAAAGAAAATAGTTGTGTTAAAAAGTATCTTAACTTTTCATCCTAACCTAGGTGTAGTGTATGCGGCACAGCACAGAAAAGAGAACAAAAGGTAGATTACATACATTCTTTAAAACGTGAGGCTTTCCACAACATGATGCCAAAACATTTCAGAATGCCAAAATAAATGAGGACTGAATTCCTTCATGCTTGTTTGACACTTCTAACAGTGGGTTTGTGTATTCGTATGTGCAAGTGGCAGGTGCACTCCAAGCAGTACCATGTGTTTCACTTCATGTTCCCTCCCTAGTTCCTGCAGTGGTCTGCTTCCACTGACTTATCCCTCTAACCCCTTGTCTCCCACCTACAACTTTGCCAAACATGAACCAAATACTTTACTCTTCCACTGATTTCTTCCACAAAGTCTAAAACTAAGTGGTTTTATCATTTAGCAACTGCAAAAAAAGGAAGAATCTTGAACACACTCCATCCCCTGGTCACTTCAATGGTTCCTGGTTTTTGGGTATCTCATGCTTACATTCCTTAGTATAACCTATTAACTGTCAGGCTCCTGTGCTTGTGTCAACTGATTGTTGTGTAGCTGAAGACACAGTCAAAACCTAGGGAGAGCAGGGAATCGTTTTAATGGGCTTTGATACTAGTCTTCACTAGGATTGGCTTAGAAATGCTGATGACTATTGATGAGGTGCTGAATACTCAAAGTTTCAGCCCTGATAAAGACCAGCACCACAGGATAGGAAGGAGCAAAGCTTCCAGTAACGTTGCATGCCTAGAACATGTGTCATCTAAAGATTTATTCTCTCAAATTCAAAAGGCTTGGTATAAATGAAAAGCCTTAGTTTTATTTTATTATTTTGTTACAACTGTTCAGGGGCTAGCATATGTTCTGAGACCTCAGGTTCATGCCTTGCTGGTTGTCCTTTGGGGTAGGGACTTCATTTTGGTGTACTGTAAAGTGCTGGACAATTGTGCTAAACGTAATAATCCAGATGAGCATTTGATTCTGCAACTCTCTCATTTTACAGTCACTGACTGTCCTTTGTTTTCTTATTTTAGCAACAATGCACTAATGGGTTTGACCTGGACCGTGCCTCTGGGCAATGCTTAGGTAGGACTTTAATTAAATCCATACATTTAAACGGAGTTCAGAAATCCTGAATTGACTGAGTTTACATTGTGCTGCTGCTAGTACATTTTAGTTGAAAGTTCTTGCTGTTTGACAAATATGTGTGTTTGTGTATCTGTATATATAAATATATACATATATATAAAAATATGTGTTTACATAGCACAAGTATATAGCAACATTGTTGAGATACTAATAGGCTGTCAGTGATTCTCAAATAACAGTGTTGCATTTTGATGAGAGCTCACTCTAGTTGCCCAGTGACAAGGGTCATTCACTCTTTCTCCTTCAGTCAGTATTTACTGGCTTTGTTGGAAGCCTCCACTTGGTGGCTCAGAGAGTCTACCACTTCTCAGCGTTGAAACTCCAAGTAAATTGTTAAGGCAATGTAGGGAAACACACACTTTGACCTATAGCATCTTTTTATCAATGGCATTCATTTTCCAGGGCAGCATTTTCTGCATGTATTAAAGTCACTCAAGCAATAAGGAAAAAAACAGAAAAAGACTGCTTGCCCTGCCATAGCAGCCTACTGCTTCTGTGCCCCAAGAACCAGGCAAATGCTCAGCTTGACTTGATTTCTATCTTGATTTCTCAGCTTGATTTCTATCTTTCTAAATTTAATTCAGTGATGATCTCAATCATAGCAAGAAGGAGGTCTGAACCATGTTGCCAGATCTGAACATCCCTAACTTCTTCTGTGGGAGGAAGCTCAGGAGTTCCAAATCAGAATCCAAGTTTCACAGCTGGGCAAACCAAACCACCAGTGTTTGAAATCCTGATCTGCATGTTGTGGTTTGGACAGACCCTTTAGCAGAAACAGGTGGTAGCATGCTGTAGTCATGTGTAAATCAGTGCTTAAACTGAACATATACAGAATAACAAAGCAGGCTTTCCTCTCCTCCCCTCTACTAAGTGAAGTAAAGCAAGTAGGATATAGGATATGTTGAATATATGGGATGTTTCTTGGTTTAGTATGATCTGACTTCAAAGTGAGGCTCCACAAGGAAGGATTAGCTTTTCCATTCAAAGAGAGTATCAAATTTTTTAGCAAAGTCTTGAGAAAAATGTTAACTATTTTTTGATAGGTCCTATGAAGAAGCAATCACTCATTTCACTTTTGCAATTTCAATCCAGATATTGATGAATGTCGAACTATTCCTGAGGCCTGCAGAGGAGATATGGTGTGTGTCAACCAGAATGGTGGCTATTTATGTGTACCCCGAACAAACCCAGTGTATCGATCACCATATCTGAACCCTTATTCAAATATTTATCCACCGCCCCCAGCACCAGGCCCTGTTCCTAACTACCCTACTGTTACAAGACCTCTGATCTGTCGATTTGGTTACCAGTTGGATGAAAACAATCAGTGTGCTGGTAAGTAGTGGAAACATTTGTTCTATGCTTTTACTTATATTAAAGCTTGTCTGACATTGCAGAAACAATTGTCCTTTAGTAATTGAATCACTCAAGCCCAGTGTTTTGAAGTTCAGCTACACTTTTTTTAAAGGATGTGAGCTGTACGTTTCATATAGTCATTACTTGATGCAAGCCAAGATAAGATTTTATTATTTAATCAGTCTTATTATTTAATCAGGAAACCCACTTTCATGAGAGAAGTAATGTTTTTATGAGATAAACAACCGATTGATGGCAGGGGATTTGTCAGTGCATCAAAGGCATGCCTTTTATTCTTATGATTCTGTCCTTGAGAGAGAAGGTGGCTGTCCATTTAAAGTGTTAGATGGGGACTGAAAAAACCTTGATTAAGTTGTTGGCCATATGTGATAGCTCATATGTCTGGACATCAGTCTTCCTCCTTTAAATGGTATAAATAAGAGTGGTTTCCTCTCATGCTTTGCGTTCTTTGCTGAGACTATAATCCCCTTGGAGCACATATGTTTCATATCTAGAGGGTGGTACACAACTGTTAGCATTACCATTGCCTTAATGACTATAGACTTCAGCTGAGACTGGAACTCCCTGTTGAAGGCACTGCATCAAACAACACAAGGGGAAAGGATCACTGCTCCAGCAGAGCACTGACTTTGTCTTAGCACATTCACGTTCCCCATTCTCAAATAAAAAAAAAACAAATAAGCCTATGAAAAATTTCTTGTGTTGGTAGTTTTTCTACTTTTGCATCTTTTGCTGGGTTCTGATTCCACTTACTCCCTTTTGTACTTAACTTAAATATAAGCTGCTTCTGTGTTACTCGAATTTAAGGAAGATTTAGATTATACCCCTTTGGTTTGCTTCATTTGATAATGCCATGGTATGAAGGAGCAGACAGAAAACTTCTTAACCAAACAAAATAAATCCCACTAGCCAAAATATTTATTTTGATGCCAAATCTGAAATCAAGAGCTCAGGATCAGTGATCACTGGTGGCTGCTCAGGGTAAGTGCTAGAGATATAGCCCACGGGTCTACCACAAAGTGAACCTATAGCCACTACCACCACTTACTTCTGTGTCTCAGTTGTCCTAATAGTAAAGTTTTTTATCTGTTATCTCATGTAGCTAATTGTCTGAAGGCTTTTATCAAAATCTGTTTTGAAACAGGACTGGTCTTTGACAATAAAAATTGCCCAAAACACAGAAGATACAACCTTTCAATAGAGAACATTGCCTGTCTTTAGACTAAGAACTGCATTTAACTCAGAACGCTTCTTTATTGAATGCTGCTGCAGAACGATACAAGAGCTAAAACTGACTTGTCTTTTGGGCTAATTCTGCCCTATTGTTTGAAATTTCTGGCAGGACGTGGTTTCAGATGATGTACTTTGTTTGCTTTCTAGTGAGGAGACCATGATGCTTCATGGGAGATTTAAATTCACAGACTTCAGGGCATTTTTCTGTATTTGAATCATTGCCTTCGTTACATTTCAAGGTGGGAAAAAAAGTATTTTCTAACCAGCACTAGTAGTAATACCTACCGGAAAAAAAAAGCAACAAACAACCTAAAACAAAACAAACAAAAAAACCAAAACCAATCTGTCTGGGGATTTTTTATGAGGAGTTTTGAAGTCCTGTGATAACTGGTAGGTTTGCTGTTAAAATAAGCATGTATGCTCTTCAGTCATTTGAAAATTGAAGTAGTCCTTCTCATTTTAGCAAATTGATCAACCTCACTTATATATCTACTGGTTTGTACATTTCTGGGAGCGTTTTCAATTTGCTAATTTTGATGTAGATGAATCAGGAAATGGGGCAGTTAGTGGAAAAGAAGTGCTGAAATCAAAGTGGAAATGAAACCCCTCTGTTGTCTCTGGCATGTCGCATGCAAGCCCTGCTAATCAAAACAGGTGGATTTTGGGAACTTTGACAGTGGACCTGCCAGCCTGCGAAGGAATATATGTTCCTGTTCATGCTGGCAGAAATGCGATGTTTAATGCTTTCTTCAGTCAGGGCTGTTCACTTCTGTCACTTTAACTTTCAAATATGGGAATTTAATTGTAAGGGAAAGTCTGGTGAATAGAGACATTAACGAGAATAGATGGGCATAGACAGGCTGCTGTTTGAGTGCCGCAGTTAGCTGGGAGCAGTTTTAGAAAGTCTGCATCAGGTTTGAATTTGGCCAGATGATGGATCATATTTATGTTAAAGGAAGAAAAACAAAACTTAAAGAAAACAAGACCTGTCAGAGGGAAGGGGTCTCTGCTGGGGTTAGATTTAATTTTTCATTCAGTGAAACCCTCGAGAGACATGTCTTGGTGCAGGATTTATTTTTGTACCTAGTGTGCACTAGGATGGAAAGTGTGGACATGAAGGAAGGTATCTCACTGCAGTGGTGGTAGAAAGGCCTGATCCCCTGTTTCCAGAACTTCTGGTGCAGTTAACAGGGTGTTGTGCTCTTTCATTCTTGAAGTCCTGGAGATAAGACAGCAAGGAACCTTGTCAGGATCCTCAGGATTTTTGTCCAGGTCTTTCAAGAAAGTCTGAATCACATGAATTATTGGTCTATCCTATTATAAGCTGATTATAAGCATTGCTCATGTTAATGATATTTCAGCTGCTCTGTGCTTCCCCGCTTGTCAGAATTCACAAGCTCTTAGGATATGAAGCACTTTGAGGGTTAATTTGTGGTGGAATGGTTGAAAAGAGTAAACTGGAAGCTATTTTGCCCAGTAGCTGAGCCACTATATAACTCACAGGTTTGTTACGTGGTGTTCTGGCACCTGCCTTGCAACACCTTCTTTCCAAATAAAATCAGTGACAGGTATTTCCATCAGAGATGATGAGACTTTTTGCTATTGACGTCAGGGGAACCAAAGCTATTCTAATGCCAATGTTTCTGAGAAATTTCCATTTTTTAACAGAGCACACATTTTTGTCTAGTCAGATATGGGGTTATAGGTCTGGGCTACATCTTCTGTTGCTAGGCCAGCAGAAATCTTTACTTTTTCTTTGCATTCCAGTCAAAACAGCTTATTAAACACAGGAACCTTCTCTGAGCTCTGAAGAGCTAGATTGTTCAAAAGACTTCCAAAGTGAAACAGGGTTAAAAATTAATCTGAAAGCTGTGAGATTCAACAGGCTCTTTTCCGTTGTTTGGGTTTGGGTTTTGTGTGTGTGTGAGTTTTGTTTCTCTTTTTTGTATTGTTTTCTTTTGTTTTTATCCCCTCTTTGCTAGAGGTAGAAAGGCTGTGAGAGGGTTGCTCTGTCACAGCCTGGCATCTGGCCTGCCTGCCAAGGCTTCGCATTCCCTGGCTCTTAGAGGAATGGGCATCCCTGGTGGTTCACATGACATTCCCCCTCTTGGGCTGGTATTTCCAACATGGCAAAAAGAAAAAAGACATTTAAGCCATTCTTCTCCCTTTCAAGCTTTTTTACCTCATCCTTTCTGCCCTGGAAGGTTCGCCATCATGTTCACCACTCCTTTATCTCCAGATCTTGTCCCATGTGAAAACAAAACCTTTCCTGGCACAAGTGACACCTCTCAGTGAGAACTTTGCCCATTCCAGTGTCCTCTGCTTGGTGCAGAAGTAGCTGTAGTCATTTGTTGCTAGAGGAATATTTTAATAATTACTTTTTAAATCTTCTGTGGGTTTAATTCCTGCTACAAGGCATTTTTACCTCTAGAGTTGCTGAATGCTTTATCTTTTGTATGTGTTTTGTATGTGTTTTTGCATGTATTGTGTTTTCAACAGCACAGGTTAGGAATGATGTATAAGACAATTAACACTGGAGTAAAAGACCATATACAGGAAAAGGCAAAGAACATCTAGCACAAGAGCACTTCTTGAACTGTTTGTCTTCTAACGCTGCGTCTCTATAAATACAGAATGGTTAGTCATAATAATGACTTTTTGTTCAAGGAACTCAGTCTAGTAACTATTGGCAGGATTAAACTGGAGCGAGGGCCCATGTTCTTGCATTATACATTCATAAGCTGAGAGCTCTTTCCAATTTCCCTTCACTCCACCTTGCTGTTTCCTGTTTTACAAAGATTTTTAAAACATGCCTCAAACACAGATCCTTCTGGACATTGTGGAAAGAACTGTAATGGGTGGGCTCCTATTTTCACTTTCTCTCCTATTAATGCATGTGCACAATGTGGGGAGTTGATGGAGGTGGGGAGGCATCTAAGAGAGTTGAATGGAGGGATTGGAGAAAGCAGGCTGCAGTCTTCTCTCAGACTACTGCAGAGAAGTAGACGTTAGGAAAGATGCAAGCATAAGGGAAGATGAGTATGACCTAGAGACAGAAGGAAGGGAGGAGGCCTGAGGAGTTAATTACAAAAAAAAAAAAAAAAAAGAAAAAAAAAAGAAAAAAAAAGGCATCATTATTTTAAAAACAAAAGCTGAAAGGAAGAAGCACGAAACCAGAGGGAAATGGAAAGATGTTTTTTCCAAGAGAGAATTGTTTTTCAAGGCCTCCTCTGTGGAGCAGTCACCTCATCTGTGGAGCAGTCATTGCTTCAGCTTTCCTCACTTCACAAAGACTGCCAGGACCTCCTACATTCCCTACCTACAAGTCCCCATTCCTACGTTCATGGAGCAAAACTCCTTCCTTCAAAACATTACCTTTGCACAGATGGGTTTTAGATCATTATCATTTATATTGCAAGCATACCTAAAACCCACATCCAAGTGTGCAATTATACTGACCTGCTCTGTGCACAACCTCATTAAGAACAGGCTATGCCTAGATGAGTTTTCAAGCAAAATGAAAGAACCAGATGTGTGTGTGTGCATGTCTTGGGAGAGGGGAGGGAAATGAAGATACAGGGAACTGAAAGGAGGTGCACAGGTCTTGTGGCAGGCCCATGGCTATGCTGGGGGTAGAGCACGGAATTCCTTATTCAATGGCTTACCTACTAAGTCAGGTTGCCTCCTAACAGTGACTTTTCTAGTGACCTCTCCGAGCATATAGA